GATCCTTTCCAAACCTCCCCCTCCCCTCTTTGGAGAGCGGGTTCTCCCAGTCCAGAAGTCTAGGAAAGATACTGGGGAATTGTAAACATCTATTTAATGACCTACCTAGGTTTACATTTTGGGGGTTTTCTTAAAAAAAAAAATACCAGCTGGGTCCCCCCACCTGAAGACACAGGCCCGCCAGCTTTCCCGCCACCACTCCGCCGGCTCAGCTGGCTGTCATCCCCCTTCCCACAGCTCCGCTCCCAGCTTGACAAATAGCCAATAGCGTGCGAGGACGCTAGGAAGCGTGATGACGTTAGCGCTGACGCCCGCGTGAGGACGCACGCGGCATCACCGTCTCCTAGGAGCGGTCCGGGACACCGGTTTCAAAGTCGCTGGGCGGGCCGTTTGGACTTCCGCTCTGGCCCCGCACCCTGAAGTCGCCACTCCCTCCACGAGGGACCCCACCACCGGGCTGCCCGCCGGCGCCCTCCGCGCTCTGGAAGGTGGCCCGACGCGACCCCGAGTGACCCGTTGGACGCCTGTACCCACCCGCGTCCCGTCCCACCCGGCTGAGATTCGTGTGAACGCGGGACAGAATGCACTTGGCGGGTCCCCAGCAAACCTGAAAGCTGAAGTCTCTTTCCCGAGCGAGGAGGGACTCGGCTGGGACTCGGGAGGAGGCGCGGCCCCCGTGGGCGCCGCGGGAGTCGGGTGCAGATTACAAGGCTGGGCAACGTCCGGAGCGGCGCCCTAGGTTTGTCTTCCCGCACACGAGTCCTGTGTCTTTTTGAGGAAAGTAACGGTGGTGAATGCTCCAAACTCAGATTTCATCCCAATGGCCGCAGAAATGGACCCACTGAGAGAGAAAAGTAAGCTCCTTATTCCTTTCCTGAGAATTCTTAGCCTGAGTATTTAATGTCATCGTTGACTAAGGAATATTTTTTGAATGCCTCTTGGGTGCGTGGAAATGTGTGGAAACTTAAGTCCGCTGCAGAAAAGCTTGGTGCTATCTAGGAGGATGTGCACATACTGGAGCAGAACCGCTTGGTGAACACCTGCAGGTTCCTTAAGCTCACCCGGGACTGACGCTAAACTTGTTCATTATGCTTCTCACAGGCTCGGGGACATTGGAGCAGCGGTTCTCAACCTGTGGGCCGCGACCCCTTTGTATTATGCTTCTCACGGGCTCGGGGACATTAGAGCAGCGGTTCTCAACTTGTGGGCCGCGACCCCTTTGGCGGTGGAACGACCCTTTCACAGAGGTCGTCTAAGACCATCCTGCATACCAGATATTTACATTACGATTCATAACAGTAGCAACATTACAGTGATAGAGTAGCGACGAAAATAATTTTATGGTTGGGTCACAACGTGAGAAACTGTATTTAAAGGGCCAGAAGGTTGAGAACCACTGCCTTAGCGGGCAACAGCTGGGAAGGATTTCTCAGGCTGCAGTTGGAACCCGAAGGCACAGCCCTGGCCGTGTGTTCAGAGGCTGTTTGTGGAAGTCCTCCCTTTTCAGTGATGTGCCAGAGCTGTATAAGCACAGCTGCCACCAATGTGAAGAGGACAGTTCTACCCTCCAGGAACTTAAATCAAGGAGGGAAATAAGTAAATTCCATTAGTACTGTACACTGAAGGGGCAGCAACTGCTAACTCCTCTGCCTCCGTTTCTTCCTAGGTTGTTGGCACGGTTAAAATAGTGTTAAAATATGTAAAGGATTTGGAATTGTTTCTGACACATGGTGCTAAACAAAAACTAACTGGTATTGTACAGGCTTATTATCAACTGTGGTCAAGGAAGGTGCCGTTGGACTGGAATGTGAAGTACTGATATGAATTTACGAGGCACCCCAAATAGAACAGTATTTGCAACATCGAGTAGGTTAGGAATGTGCTTAGTTAACAACTTGCAAGGAGGTTAGCTTGGATGGAATGTGCTTTATAGAGAGAAATGACAAGTACAGCTGAGAGGGAAGAATGGGGCTAGGTGGTCAACAGCCTTGTCCGCTATGTGTTCAGGAGTTTGGACCATTGCACAGGTTACAGGAACCACTGAAAGGAAATCAATTGAGAATAGCATGATCAAACTGTGATTTTGAAAGCCCAGTGTGACTGTTGTGAGGAACATGCCTTAGAGCACAGTGCAATTAGGTGACTTATCACCCAAGTAAGAAATGAACTAAGGTTGGTTCAATGAGATTGGAGATTAGGGGATTTGGGAGAAAGAGGTGGAGGGCAACCAGGAAGATGGGGGGGAGGGGGGAGCGGGGAGAGGGGGAAACAGCAGGTTTCATTTTGGAAGCATTATAGACCAGTGGTGAAGAACTCAGCCCATCTCTGACATTCTTTACATTGGCTTCTATTGAACTCGATTGCCTCTTTTCATTTGCTCCACTGGGATTTCAGAGTCTCGCTCAAGACCGTGTGATTTGGTACTTTTCATCTGGGAACTCCACATGACACAGCTTCTGTATAATAAAGTGTCAGCTTTACACATCATAAGCACTGGCAATTCCACACCCAGTCAGGCTTCTAGTAAACTTATAGCATATTTGCAGAACACTATTCTTCCATTTCCATCTGAGAAGGGAGATCTGATAGTTCTTAGGGATCTGTTCAAAGAGGGACTTGTGTGTCAAGCTAAGAAATGAAGAATTTGTTCTTGTAGTGGGAATTAATGGATAGTGGGGATGGACTCATTTTTTCTTTTCATTCTTTTAATAGTGTGTTTCACAGAACAGAACTTGCTAATTTTGGTGAAGTTTAATTTCTCAATTTGTTTTTTTATGGTTCTGTGTCATATCTAGAAATCTTTGCCCTAACCCAAGGGTGCAAAGATTTTCTTCTATTTTTTTCCTAGAAGTTTTGTAGTTTTAAGTTATACTTTTAGATCTATGATTCATTTTGAGTTGAATTTTGTAAGGGTTGAGGCTCATTTTTTTGTATATGGATGCCCAATCAAAAGAATATCCTTTCTCCATTGGAGTACCTTTGACCTTTGTTAAAAATCAGTTGTCTGTATTTGTGTAGGTCCATTTCTGGACTTGATTCTGTTCCATTAATCTATTTGAAGTTTTATAAGAAGTCTTAAAGTCAGATAGTGTTAGCCTTTCAAATGTGTTCTTTTTCACAGTTGTTTTGGCTATCCTATGCCCTTTGCACTTCCATATAAATTTTAGAAGCAGCTTGTCAATTTCTACAAAAACAGATGCTTGGATTTTAATAGGCATTGCATTGAAACTACTGATCAATTTGTGTAGATTATATTGAGTTATCTGATCAATGAAAAGTTATATATCCATTGAAATACCTCTTCGTTAATTTCTCTCAGCAATATTTGATATTTTTTAGTATATAGGTTTTGCATACCTTTTATCAGATGTGTTGCTGTTTTGATACTATTGTAAATGGTATTAGTCTTTTACCTTGATTTTTTTATTTATCATTGCTACTATAGAGAAGTCTTTATTTTTGCCAATTGTACCCTGCAACCTTTCTAAACCCACTAATTAGTTGTAATAGTTTTTTTTTGTAAAGCCCATTAGATTTTCTACATAGACGATCTTTTCATCTTATAAACATAGTTTTACTCCTTTCCAATTTGAATGCTGTTCATTTCATTTTCTTGCCTTATTGCACTGACTAGAACGTCCAGCACGTTATTTTCTCAGGATAGAAGACTTCTTCACAGACAAAGGTTTTTGACTGGAAGAAGATATATGAATAGACTGCATTATAAATAAAAACTTGGATATCACAAAAGATGTCATCAATAAATGACTAGCTGTAGAAGGGGAGAATATGTGTATTTACAATAAATATAACTGAGAGTTGATTAGCATCTACCAGTAGAATTGGAAAGATCTTTCACAAACATTAATACATTTACACTAATAGAAAAGTGGTTAAAGAATATGACCAGGCCACTTATAAAATTTAAAACCTGAAAAACTACTAAAAAAAATGAAAAGATATCAATCTCGTTAGTCATCTAGAAAATGTAAAATAAATAATTGTGTGATAAGTGCTTGTTGAACGAGTGAAGGAAATACTAGATTTAAAAAAAAAGAAATACTAGATTTAAGTTATAGTAAAATTTTCTCCATTTAGTAGTCAGCCTGTCAAGATTGGATGTTTCCCTCATTATTAATCCACAATTGACTTTTAAAACATATTTAATTACTTTTTAACATATTAATCACAACTCAGATTTAGTGTTTTGTCTTATTTGAAAACCCTTTCAGGGGAAGAAAGAAGTAGTTTGTATTGGAATTATTATATCCAGAGACAAAACTCTAATCTCCTTTTAAGACTGAGAGGGAAGAAGAGTAATAAGCAAAAGCTAGATCCTTCCTATAGTCGTGGTAAAGTTTTAGTGTTATCTTTAACGTTTTGAGAATAACAGTAAAAAAAATTATGGAAATTCCTCTTAAACTCAGTAAAAAATTAAAAACTATTTACATTATTTTTTAATAAATATTTATTTCAGAGAGGAAGGGAGAGGGAGAGAGAGAAACATCAGTGATGAGAGAGAATCACTGATTGTCTGCTTCCTGCACTCTCCCTATTGGGGATGAAGCCTGCAACCGGGGCATGTGCTCTGACTGTAAGTCGAAGGGCCAGCTATTTACATTATTAATGCCCCATAATTACTCGTTCCTTTGTGAGAATCACATGTATCCATCATATTTCTCATCTAAATTATGTACACTTTTAAGGAAGAAACTATTATCTGAAGTTCTCAACATAGAATGTTGATACAACGTAGAATGATAATGTGTGTACATTATATATACATTTTTATTTATATGTGCATATATTGTTCATATGTATTCCATATATGTGCATATTTGCTTATGCATAACATATACAGAAGAGTAAAGAAAACAAATATAAAGCTAAGTGAATTATTACAAAGTTCAAAACCATGCAACTGCAACCCAGGTCAAGATTGCTAGGACCCCAGAAACAAGCCCTCTTGTAATCATAATCGCTACTTCTCCTCAAAGATAATTGAAAATAACCAATGTCTTTAAGTTTACACTAAAGTTCAGTTGTGCCTGTGTGTGAACTTTATGTAAATGGAACCATAAATTGTGTATCCTTGTGTATTTGGCTTCTTTCATTCAACATTATGTTTTTTTGTTGTTGTTTTTTTAAAATATATTTTATTGATTTTTTACAGAGAGGAAGGGAGAGAGATAAAGAGTTAGAAACATCGATCAGCTGCCTCTTGCACATCTCCCACTGGGGATGTGCCCGCAACCCAGGTACATGCCCTTGACCGGAATCAAACCTGGGACCCTTCAGTCCGCAGGCCGACGCTTTATCCACTGAGCCAAACCGGTTTCGGCTCAACATTATGTTTTTGAGATTTACTTATATTTTTGCATGTAGATGTACTTTAATTTCATTCCTGTAGGGTGTTTCAGTTTTGGGGTTTTTTTTTTGAAATATATTTTATTGATTTTTTACAGAGAGGAGAGGAGAGGGATAGAGAGTT